AATAGCACTAGGCCATTGTCTCCCTGGTCTGCGAATCTTTAGATCTCTCTGCCACAGAGACCTGTGGGGACAGAGTCCTTGTGTATATTTAAAGCTGAGACGGAGAGATTCCTGTTCATTAGGGGAAAGGTTAGGAAAGTAGATATGAGGTACAAAAGCAGAAGTTGCTGGAAAAGCTTCTGAGGAAGAGTCACCTGACCCAAATGTTAACTCTGATTTTCTCTTCACACATGCTGCCAGACCTGCTGAGCTTTTCCAGCAACTTCTGTTTTTGTTCCTGATTTACAGCATCTGCAGTTCTTTCGATTTTTTTGAAATGAGTGTCAGGTTAGCCATGATCTCATTTTCTGTTCAATGATCTCATTGAATGGGGGAGCACGCTCGAGGGGCTGAATGGCCTACTCCTGCTCCTATTTCTTATGGCCTGACCTACATATGTCTCCTGACCCACACCAACATGGTTGACCCTTAACTGAGAACCACTGAGTTCAAGGGCAGTTAGGGATGGTTCAATAAATGCCACCCATGCCAGTGATGCCAAGGCACCCAAATCCCTTTGCACCTCAGAGTTCTCTAAAACTCTTCATTTAAATAACATATTGCTTTTCTATTCTGCTTGACAGAGTGGACAAGCTCAAATTGACCAAATCTGTGTGTTTTTTTGCCCACTCACTTAACCTACTCATATTGTTTTGCAGAGTCCTTTTGTCCCCTTCACACATCACTTTTCTACTTATTATAATCCCAGCCGATGATAACACTGGACAAGTCAGAACATATTTTATTTTTGCAGTTTGGTTACTGGGGTGGTCATTCACTGATCACATTCACACAAGGCTACCAATAAACCTTTCACAAAAAAAAACTTATTTCACAAAACAAAAATGCACAACACTATATACAAAACAGTTTAGAAAAATCAAAAAGTAAAAGACTAAAAGAAAAATTCAACCCTTTTCCCAGCAATGTCCTTTACAGACACTCAATCTAAATGAAGTATCACTTCCAGCTTAAATATTTAATTTCTTAGTTAACTGACAAAGTTGCAACCACTTCATTTCATTCACGAGATGTAAATCTCTCCTTTACCATCTCTCTCTCTCCCTCTCTCTCTCTCTCTCTGTCTGAGATACACAGACACCAGCTACTTCATAAAATCCGAAAGAACTGCGGATGCTGTAAATCAGGAACAAAAACAGAAGTTGCAGGAAAAGCTCAGCAGGTCTGGCACCATCTGTGAAGGAAAAATCAGAGTTAACATTTCGGGTCCGATGACCCTTCCTCGGAACTGAGGAAACATTAACTGTATTTTTCCCTTCACAGATGCTGCCAGACCTGCTGAGCTTTTCCAGCAACTTTGTATTTGCACCAGCTACTTCATGTTAAGTTGAGACATTTGATGTTTACTTTAAATGGAAACGTAGTAAAGGTAGAGGGAAAAAGTAGGAGAATGGCACTAGGTCCTAATGATTATTTGGAGAGCAGTGTAGACATGTTGGGCTGAATGGCCACTTTCTGTGTTGTAACATTTATCTGTTTCTGTAAACATTCCTAACTGAGCTTCTGCAAAGCCCTGCCTACTCAAAGTTTTAAGATTTCTTCCTAGTTCTAAAAGTCCAAACTGCCACAAATTAAACTGCCCTTGTGCTGGTGGCAGGCTTTATTCTGAAATAGAACCTGATTGTGACTTTCTGTACAGCATAAGCATTCCACTTTTTAAACCTTTCATCAGTTCACTTCCCAAGTCACTGATTGAGTCATTCAGTTTCAGTCAGATACTTTTTTGGAAATGATGTCTGAACTCATTGCTCTCACTTTATGTCCTCTTTATGACAAATCACCTTCACAGAATTAAAATCAAAACCCACTTACCACTACTTTAAAATCCAAATTCCCAAGTGATGACAATACATTCTAAGCCTTTATCATGTGACTTATCTTTGCATCATCAACAAAGTTAGTGATCAGGCATTTGGGCTCTTTATCCAAGACTTTGATATAAATTGTAAATCATTGAGGTCCCAAAATGAATTGCTCCTCGTTTCTCTGCATTACATTTCAGCCATCAGTTGTCCATGTGTTCCAACAGCCTGTCTTTGTGCTCTCCATGTCTAATACTATCTTTCTCACACTTTGTTCTCTTGGTATCATTTCTAAATGTTATAGGGGGAAATGTTGGCATAGCCCCATGGACTTGGACCTCCAGAACAATCTTCAGAGATGTTCCAGGGACCTGGGGTCAACAGTTAACAGTCCCTGTTGCATCTCCACACCAACTGCAGACCAGTCAGTCAGCACTCTCGTCTCATATTCTATAAATTGGTCCCACGCAGAAAGCTTCAACTTAATGTCCCCTTTAAGCTGTGTATTAGCAAACAATAATTAATTACTGTTCCTCTGGATTGCTGTTTGCCTTGTCCCATTGCCAAACCATGTCCTGTGGCCCTGTCATCACTGGTTTGTAATGTTCTTGTGTTGGCACTTGGTCCATTTGGCTCACCCCATTCCCCCGGGATTAAACCTAACCGCCTAACTCCTCAGTACGCTGGAAGCGTGCTGAGGTAGGAAACTCTCCTGAACACACTGAAGGGACTGATCCCCACCTCTCTGCTTTACATTAACAAGCCTGATGCAAATTAGGATAGTAACAACACACCAAAGTATTTTGTACCTAGCTGTAATTTCCTGATGATTTCCTAACTGTAATTTCCTTGTTTCTCTCTGAGCAGTTTCACTGAGTGGATTGATAGACTGCAATCCATCCTGTACCACACCTGTCTTGTTCCTTATAAATGAGGGGAATCTCATAGAGACTTATAAAATTCCAACAGGACTGGACAGGGTAGATGCAGGGAGGATGTTCCTGATGGTGGGTGTGTCCAGAACCAGGGGTCACGGTCTGAGGATTTGGGGTAGACCATTTAGGACGGAGATGAGGAGACATTTCTTCACCCAAAGAGTGGTGAGCCTGTGGAATTCATTACCACAGGAAGTAGTTGATGCTAAAACACTGAATGTATTCAAAAGGCGACTAGATATAGCACACCTGGGGCAAATTGGATCAAAGGTTGTGGGGAGAAAGCAGGATTAGGCTACTGAGTTGGACAATCAGCCACGATCATGATGACTGGAAGAGCAGGCTCAAAGGGCCAAATGGCCTCCTGCTGCTCCTATCTTCTATGTTTCTATGTTGGACCAATTGACAGCACTGCAGTGCTGTAACACTTTCCGGAATCAAAATTGCCACATTTATTACTTCCTTTCCCTAACACTCTTCCCTAAATACACCAAATCCAGAAGCATTCAGTTCCCAGGCCTATCATTCACTGATTTCCTTATCACTGCAACCTTGTGCTCCTCCATGTCTCTCAGTGTCTGTACATCACCGACTCTCTCTCTGTGTCTCTCGGTGTCTGTACATCACCGACTCTCTCTC